AAAAAAAAAAAAAAAGTGTCTTGAATTTTTTTTTTCTCTAAACCTAATCTCCAAATCAATTGTCTCCCACCTTAGCTCTCGTTTTTGCCTCATATTCAGCGGGGCGCATCGCACTGTCGCGCTTTCACCATTGTAGGATTGTGCTTCCTCCCGACCTATTGTCGTTGCAAGGACCTTTCGGTTGTTGGGTTTTCGCCGTTTTCTCTCGGTTGCCGATCGAATTGTGGAGCAGCCGACGAGGTGAAGGTTGGGGTGGGCAGGGTCTTCTCTGACTGAGCACCGACCAATGGTCGGTGTCAAGGTTAGTTCATCTCTTTCTTCTGTGTTTCCGTCTCTCTGGTGTTGGGGGTGGACTCCTGTGGGTGGTGGGTGTTTAACTCCGATGATCGTCGGCTAGCTTCGCTGGAGGCTGTCGTAGGGTTCTGGCCTTGGAGCCGTTGGTGCTCTGCCCCTCTAGTCTCCGTCGCTCCTGGGCGATGGGCTTCGTCGGTGGTGTTGGTTAGTGGCTCCAAGGTTGTAAGACTTTGGTCGTCGTTAGGAGTGGGGTGAAGCGTTAGGGCCGATTTTGGCATTCTGGCCTGTGGGGAGCTTTTTATTTTTCTTGTTCGTCTTGTAGTGTGTGTTGTGGTATCTAGGCTGCCTTGGGTAGTACTCCTATTCTGACTAATTAGTCGTTTGTAATTTTGCGTTTTAGTGAATGAATCTATCGTTACGAAAAGCAATAAAACACCACAATGATTACAGGAACAAGAGTTACAAGAAACAAATAATTTTAATAAGTAAAATGACCTGACGTAAAAAATAATATTAAACTATAATATGTAAAAAAAATAATAATTTATATCAGAGGCAAAGGTTTTATTATTTTGGTTTTGCCTCCATATTTGGTTGGACCATCTTTACTCTCAACCCAACTATAATAAAAATAATGTTAGTCAATCTAAATGGAATTTCAAAGTTCATTTTTTTTAAATATTTAGGGCTTCCATTAGGTACATGAAGATCTAAAAGATTGACATTCAAGTTTGAGAGTGAGGTTGTTAGGAATAGAATCTCAAATTGAAAAAATTTCGTTCTAAGTGAAGCATGAAGAGAAGTTTTTCTTAAGTCTGTCATTGGTGCATTACCAACATATGTGATGTGTTGCTTTATGAACCCATCTTCTATTTATTTGGATATTTGCAAAATTTAAAAATAATTTATTAACAAACACTCGTGTAATACATAGTGTTGTACTAGTGTTTAACTTATTTCCAATTGCTAGGATTTGAGAATCCCAATATTAATATATGGGATATATTCATTGTTTTTATTCTATATAATGAAAAATGTAACAATGTCAATTGATTCCGATTTTGGAGATTTTTATGTAAATTCTAAATATTACATATTTATACCTTAAATTCAAGATATTTGGAAATTAGTTATTAGGAAGAATAGTATTATGAGAATCCCAAGAATTAATTATGATTTATTTTTTGTTTAGAATGTGTTAAAATTTTTCAAATTTTGATATATAACTCGTTTTTAAATAATTTATAAATATTTTTATATTCAAGAACAAAAAGTCCATTTTATAGGTTAACATTTTTATATTCTAGACTTCTAAACAATAATCAACTTTATTTTAATGTAATTTCGTATTTAAACTAAAAAATTGAAAACTTGGTATACGTTGAAAAAGAAAATGAGTATTGAAGATACAAACTTTTTGAAGCACCTTGCCAGGCTACATGAAACAGATTTCTGGCGTTTTTGTAGGCTGGTCCGGCCTATTGCTCTTTCCTTGTGCCTATTTCGCTTTAAGGGGCTTAATAAAGGACATAAGCTCACCGACCGAAACTACTTTGACTGAGAGCTCCTAACCTAAAGCACCGGTTATGAACCTAAGAGCTCCAACTCGTACTCATAGTTAAGTAGCGGCAAAACTAACAAGTAAAACAGGATGAGGTTGCCACCCTCATCCGCAAGAATAACGATCTCGACCCTACTTGTGCCTTTTGTGGGGAAGCTTGGCCGAAATAAAAGGAAGGTTGATCGAAGGATCTACATGAAGCTTAAAATACAACTTTACTAAAGGTCTGCTACTAATCGCTATCTTTGCCTTTAAGGTGATAATAGATCTCGTCAGTAATCTTATTTTAAAAACATATAGATAGGTACTTATGATTCATTAGTAGGAGAAAAACCTTATGTTTAAGGATCCTTAAAGGCTCGACCAAATTGCCTCGAGCGGGCGCCCATTGAATTCATAAGCATAGGGGCGTCCCGGGCAGTGGTTCATTCAATGAGAAAGGAAGACAGGACAGGAGGGCAGGATTCGTCGTATTAAAAAAAGATATAAAAAACAGAAGAAAACACAACGATTTAAAAAAAAAATGTGTAAAACACAAAATGAATAGGTAGTGGATTTGGCCTGTGGTGTGATTTCAGGTAGCCGAGTTAGCCGTCTCTGGAGTTTCTGGAGCTATATTCAGCCTGAGAGTGTGGGCTGTCAACTCCAGGTTCCGTGTTCGTGGCTTTGCGGTTTGTGACCGGTTGGGGGAAGAGTTTATTCTAATAGTGTGTATT